GGTTTGAGCTGAATTTTCCGTTCTAATTTTTTCGGGTGGCGACCGACTCTGCAGAACTTGACTAGAGTGACTTTTGTAATGAATCAGTTTTGTTTTTGTAGAACTGACAGTCTCTGGGCTGCTTACCTGTGAGAGATAATATATGGACCTAATATAGTGACCTAATGATAGTTAAGGATCCTAATCGCTTGTTTGGCTATCTGTGAATCAGTGTGAAATAATGTACCGTTATTATTTTGAATGACGCCTAGATAGCGTCATGTTACCATGGTAATGAGTCCACGTATTTGCTGAGTTATTGAATCTAGGTTAAGTTCCTGATGACAATTCTATCTTTATATTCCAGTTAAGCATCCCCAATCAGTCAATCACCTCTCGTTTTTGTGTTAGAACACAACACTGCCACACAGTCTTAATTTAAATGTAAAGGGTTGATAGCCCGGGGTGGGGGAGACTTAAAACTGGGTAGAGGGTGCCACTGAGCCTTCAAATGTGGGCACACTTTTATACCTCTTCTGTTTTGACAGAATTCTTACCCAAAGTACTATTTTTGAAGCTCATGTTTATACCAAATAATACAACAGCTGCCATTGTTTTTGTTACCTCAGTCACAGGCACTCGAAACGTTTCATGGATAATAAAAAAATGACCTAAAGTAGGATCAGCATAGTTAGTCAGTCGCCGGTACTTTCCCCTACCACTCATATAATAACACAAGGTAGGAAAGTGTTGACACCATGACATTGAAACTTCCCGAAAATAACACGATTTTCCAAAATATTTTTCAATCCGTTTCACACAACTCAAGCATGATATCGGTAGAAACTATCGATTGACTTGTATTACCTTTATTCGAATTAAAACGTGTTAAATCCTGTGAAAATCAAAACACCAGAGCAAAAAAGACAAATCCATCTACGCCAATATTTTGAAGCAGTGACCCGAGCATGCGCACTTCCCAAACATGTACGCGCGTACTGCGTCATCAAAAACCGATGCAGATGTTTTTTTTATATTGCGAACTATTAGCTCAATTTTTATTTTTCAGGAAAATTCAATTTAAAAATACAACATATAATGATATAACATACAACAATACAATATTTCAATTTTGAGACTATCCTGAATTTATACCTATTTGGACAGAAAATAGAACCCATATTTATACTTACCCCTACCCCCCCCCATCCCCGGCTCCTAGGTTATTACATTTACAGTTTTTGTCGCAGAGGAAGTTAAAAAAAAAGTTTGTATGCATAAAAGTATTACAATGGTGGTATAACTACATTACACACTGAATACTAAATGATAAGGGTATCATGAGAATATCACATTCTGGCAGTATGTGATCACATCAATTCTGTTATGTCCATACTGCTTGAGTGCATACTTTGGCACTATTTTTTACAGCTGTCCAGCATTTTTCATTGTGCAAAGGTTTGCATTCAGTAAATGAATTCATTCTCCATCACATTGTATAATGCTTTTGTGTCCTGTAAACAAAGGGAAGTATCCCATGTTACATCAAAAATCCAAAATGCATTAATTTTGGTGACATTCATTATTCCAAATATGAGAAAATTTGAATTTAGAAAACAGCAAGTTCTATCATTTTTGATGCTAGATGGACAATAATTTGTAGTATTCTCAGGTTTTTTTCTAGAAAAATGAGCAAGAGGGAGCACACACAGGCAGGGGAGCGGAGCGACCAAGCGGGGAGTGGAAGGGGAAACGCCATATCGGGAGGTTTCTGCACCGTTTTAACGGTGTAATTATCATCATTGAAATATTTTGGGTAATTTTAGTGTATTTGGTGTCCAGACACATTGTCAACTGGTGTTGCTGGGAAGTTTTCATGGAGAAAAATATATTTGACAATGATTTCATGTTGTACGGAAGTGCGTGGCTTAAGAAATATATATGACTTGAAAGTTCAATCGGCAATTTGGTAAGAGAGCGCCAGCCGAGAGTATCAGGGCGCTGCACCCCTGTTCCCCGGTTTGTAAAAAACCCTGATTCTCATAATGAATATAACCTTATTATAGTAAATCTCTTGATCTAATCACCCAATACTGGTCCAGAATGTCTCACAATAAACTTTGGTCTGTAACATTAAGTCATTTTTAGTCTTAGTTTTACACTTATAATTTGGTCTCTGTCCGTGCGTCTGTGCTTCCAAGATCATATCTCAGAATCCCTTGGACCGATTCCGTTCATTCTTTGCATGTGTTTAGTACTTTATGTTGGACATGTGCACATGCAATGGTTTAGCAATTGGATTCAAAATGGCCGACTGGCAGCTATATTGTTTTTTAAAAATGTT